TTATTCTAGTCCAACGTTTTTCAAGCTACATATCAATAAAATTCCCGACTCAAGCGCACCATACTAGGGTACTACAGAGTGAGAAGATTAGAGAGTTAGAGAAAGAGTGTTCTAGTAAAATAAAATCAATGACGGGGATACTGCGCAAACTGCGTATACCACCTAGATCTGACCTACTTTAAATAATTTTGTGTTTTAACTTGGTTTTCCCCGGACATAAATGTTAAAAATTTCAAATCCAAGTGCTTATACTTCTAATATTAGTATACGTACTTCTAACATTTTATTACACAATAAGTTGGAATATACAGGTAAGGTACAATAAAAGTTTAAATACTAGAAAGTAAAACTAGGATTAAATTATATGAATAAAATTGGTTCCCCGCGGCAATGTGCCCAAGATAATGCCAGCTCAGCTACGGAGCGAGCTCTCTTGCTGGTGTGCTGAAGACGGGATGGGGCAAGTGTGTCAGCATACGTGGCGTCTCACACCAGTGTCTGGCCTATACTCCAAGGGATGAGAGTCATTCGGTCCGGGTGTTTGCCGTCAGTTCGCGTCATGCCGTTTGGCTTGAGTATGGCGGGCACGTTAACAGTGGCCTAAGACCGGTGATGACGTTCGGCGACTTCTGGTATCATTAATCTTTAACATTTCCTTTTCGGTTTTTAGGTACCAACAGAACAAAAATACGAAAACGTCTATAATGGAAATGCTAAGATTACGTGCATCTTTAATCAACTTTTATGGATATTAACATAATACTGATTTAGTAAGTGGGGTTCAGTACTAAATAACAAAAAATCTGACTACGCAAACATAATATCGTATAAAGACAAAATGAAATAAAGATTCAGTGTTCCAAAAAAAATTACAACTTTGCATACCGTTGATGCCTATTGTATGAGAGCGAGTTAAGATTAGTCTTCCTTATTACATTCGAGTTATTCCTACAATGTTCCTAGGAGTGAAATAAAGTCTCACTGATTGATATTGGTGCACGTGTAAAAGCGACACGCTTCAGTTGCAGTACCACTCAGATCTTTAAATCGCAAATATCAGAGGGGCAGAGGGCAGCAGGTTGATGTTACGTAATAATATATTTTACGCAATTACCGCTCCTGGCTTGGCTGTAACGGTCAAAAAATTATCTCTTTTATGAAGCGAATATAATCAAAACTTTAATTTGTTTATTCAGGCAAATATTACATACAATTACAAAATGATCACTGATCTTCTTCGTATATAATTTACTCGTCACATTATGTTTTGTAATAGCCTATAATCTAACATTATAATATACCACATAATGTCTACACCTGCGTTTTTTGTTATGAAATAAGATTTCACTTTCTATCTTTCTCGTTTTTTATTTCACTTGAGTGTTTAATTATGCTGGGTGCTGCTAATAGGTAGAAGTAGATTCAAGCCAGTCGAGGCTCACTTTACACTTACAATTTATATTCAACTTTACACCATTTAGTATAACACCGACATTTCAAATAGTTATTGAATTAAAACGCGTGCTTTTGAGTCTATATCAATTTATATCAATAGGTACCTACTTGAAAATATTCTGACACTCGGCATTATTTGAAATGAAATGCATATTTCCCTTAACACCACGACAGATATTCAAACATGTATTTGTAATATACTAATAATATAACGAGGATATTCTTTTGTGGTAGGTAGTCGGCTCGTTTCCTGGAATGGTAACTGATGCGCAAAATTTTTATAGCAACTTCAATTTATATGTAGGAAGCTCGCTGCATATAAATTGAAGTAATTATTTACGCATAATGTAAATTTACATGGGCTGTACCGACAGTGTACAAAATTACTAACATATTTTAAATGCTACTGTTAACATTACTCATTTGTGGATAATGTCGTTGATTGTATTTGTACTTATGTTAGAATTAACCAACACTGAATGTAAACATACCATGTACAATTGTTTATTATCCCTGAAAAATAAATAAACATTTAGTAAACAATGTGTATCAAATTAGGAGCAATAAAATCAAATGGCGTGCGTGCGTGTGTAAGCGCGCGCGCGTTTGTGTGTGTGTGTGTGTGTGTGTGTGTGTGTGTGTGTGTGTGTGTGTGTGTGTGTGTGTGTGTGTGTGTGTGTGTGTGTGTGTGTATGGGTTCCAATCTTCTAGAATTAAACTTTGAAGAATGTGCTGTCAACGTCAAATTCGCCATGCATCTATATGCGTTAATACAATTTTTAGTCAGCATTCTACTTTGAAGATATATTCAAGTAAACATTATGTAAACTATCTATTTCAAAATAGATACACCTAAATTTAATACCACGCTTTTTATTATGATTCCAGTTGTCATGTTACCATGTGCATGCTATCATGGCTGTTAAGGTTTTAATAAATAAAATTATTGTGTTTCTTCTGCTTTGGAATCTTCAAAGAGCGTGCTGCATTTCATTAAATTAAATTGCGTCGCTTCTATTATTCATATTATACTCATTTCTCAACGAATACATACTAATAAGCTGGAATATGCGCCTAGTCAATAAAATATAAATATTGAATACGATACAACATGTTTTTTCTATTTAATATAATTGATAGGTTTATACATAAGCGTTGCATGTTTAAAATAATTAGACAACATAATACACCTGCATTGCAGGTAGTTAAATTACAAACTTTTACTTCAAAATAGCTATAGCAAAATGATTTTAGTTTTTCCATTAAAAGTAACAATAATAATGCAACTTTCGATTTTGTGAAATATGCTTGTGAAATATATCTAATTAGCAAATAATACTGTCGTCACTTTTGCTTGACAATTCTACTGTTTCTTCGCAAACACATATGAAAGCCATGGGAATATAAATGAACGATTATGCTATTGTTTTCGTGGAGTTACATTAGTTTAATAATGCGTTAGGTGTTATTATACAATGTTCTAGAATAATTAAATGTAATATCATTATCTTTATCCTTATCAGTATCTTTTCATCTTAGTTGGATTATAATAATTGTTTACAAAAAAAAAGAGTTACGAACTTACGACAGTTTTAAAATGAAATTTGGTTTATACAAAATGATTGGCCAGTGAAAGGCCAAAATGTAGAGCTGCGTGATTCTTTAAAAGTGTTTGTAGTTAATTTTTGATGCGAGCTGCATACTACTCTTACAATAAACAATTATCTCTACGTAGCATAATACGATGCAACGCAAATTGTTCTTAAGTCCTAAAGAAAATTAAAGGCACTGAAAACGATGAAGATACATTATAGCATTACGTCATTCTATTATGTGCTCAAACATTAAGTAAAACCTCACTTAAGGTGGTTAAACCTTAAGTGTAAGTTATGAATAGTATAAACCATTCGGCTCTGATATTTCCAATATTAGAGTATTCTACTAAATATAGAAAAGTACCAAAGGAATACAACAAAGCAAAGATTCGTGATCATGAGAAAGTTTATTGAAAGGGGTAGTGAAACCCAGTCAAAGCGACTTGGAGGCTACCATACAGCTGATCTTTAATCGTGGGAGGCATCGTTTTCTAACCAGTTTTGCAAGACTTTTCGCTTGCACTTGTTCACCTATTGAGTTCAAGGCTTTAAACACTTTCAAGGAATTTAATTAATCATCTTCAAATACCTTACATAATTTACTAGAAGTAAACAGTAATGAAAGAAAAATTAAGAAAACTGTTCTTGCACATGGAATTCAATTAATAATTACATGGATTGTCGAACTTCAATAAATGACATATAAGTAGATTGGTGTAATACTGTATATTATGCTTGTAAAAATCTACAAAAATATCGCTGGTATTTTTAATACGAGTCGTTGCTTCATAGTTGTTAGTCATTTACGCCAAGACAAAATGAATTTGAGTGTAATGCGGGGCACAAATAGTTATCAGAGGCGAAGGGTTCGATACCACTATTACCGTCGATCATCTGGGCATATGATTACATAGGCGTACGATTAACCTAGACATATGAAGACTAATGTAATATTAATGTACGATATTTTTATAATATTTTATTCATCCAACATACGTGTGGTAGGTGATAGATCACCTACCACATAGGTAACTTTTACAAGTTCATTTGTTTTGAACAAAACAAACTTGTGTCTAATTTATTCACAAAGACAAAGAACCTGGACTCTAGTGGCTTCCTATCACAATACCACATACGAAACACCTGTTTATTTCACTGCAATGAAACACGTAAGAAATATTCCGTCCCGTTTTCACGCACCCATATATAATGTACGTATATATGAAAACTATCGAATGGACTATGGACTAAACTAGTAAGCAAAGCACGAAGGATAGGAACATTTCTAAATTGCACTATTATAATTATTAATTGTTTAGAAATTGGCAATTGATTCGCTGTTCCGTATGAATTGTTTTCTTTTAAATATACCCAATGACGGGACGAACCAGTCGTGAGCCTGGTCGCAAGCGACACGCCTCACACTGAGGCCCGTCCATAAAAAGTAACGCTCTAAACTCAAATTTAATAATTTGGGTATTTAAATATATATAATATACAGGGTGGAAATTTGTAATGCCACCTGGAGGGAAAGTACTCTAAATACTGGAGATAGAAATTTTTACTTAAAGGAAACATTCCTTTATTTATTAAAAGAAATAAAACTAAAAATTGTATTGACATCAAATTTTATGTTAATTGAATCTTGCTATTGCTTGACCCTTATAAATAAATTGCGTATGGGACACTTTGTGCAAGAATTCGACTCGCATTGGGCGGTTTCTCTATTTAATATCTCTTAGCACTAAGCATGTAATGATATTAATAACTTTTTAATCCCATTGCATGCTTCTACTCAGTTCATCAAACTATTCAAGTCAGTACAAATGGTTTAATAAGCCAGAACATCTTTAAAATGTAACAAACGCATTAAAGAAACGCCGTAACAAGGATAATTGTTATATAATATAGTATGTATTTAGTACACATAGTAAATGCAAAATTCCAACCGGTGTATGCAGAATGACTGTATGTAGAATTCGCTAAAGCGTTACATTCGCTCTGGTTTGGAGCTATCTTGATTGGAGGGGCTCGAGCTCACGAACAAACACAAAGTGACCGGCAAAATGAACGCACTGCACGTGCCGCGGGCTCTTTGCGTTTGTGTTGCCTTATCGCTTCTGATAACCGTCAGTGCTGCTTCTGTAAATCAAAGTGAACCTCTACCATCTGTACTAGAGGACGATGTCTTAGACAATAAAAAAATCGAACTGTTTGACGGAGTGTCAGTGAAAATTCCAAAAAGTGAAGACCGCGACAGAAAAATGTTGTCTTTGGAAATTAATACCGGCAAGGATGTTGAAACAGGTAAGTTTATTACAATTAAAAACCTCTATAAATAGGTTTCTACCTACGTATGTATGCCCTAAATTTGTTTTATTATTTGTAGTTTCTTGATGACTATGTTAGAAGCGCAACGTCTACTCATTTTATAATGGGTTCTTTCACGGTATCCTCTCACATTCCCAAATTTCTATTTGTTCCCAAATTTAGGCCTAGCCTTATGTTAGTCTTTCATCGATTTGACTTAGCTTACTAAGTATAAATTTAAAAAAATCAATAACTAATGTAAATTCAAGTGCACGCAAAATCCTCACGAAACTAAGATTAGTGTTAATCTCAAATCAATAAAAGACCAGTGAAAATTGCTAATTTGAATAGAATATTTGAATACTTATTTGATTTAGACAGCGCAAAAAATGTTATTCGTCTGTCACAGAAAACAAAAACTCAGCATAAAACTCTTCCCGAAACAAACCAAGCTACGCAAAGGCATTCCAATAAAATTGTTATTGAACGAGAGAGCGGAGAAACGCGTAAGTAGGTACGAAATAATCAGAGCAGTAACGTCTGTTCTATGGCAAGTGTATAGGTAATGCTTATTAAGTCATCTAACCAATCTGAACAGTAGAAAGTAAACAGGTGTTTATAATTACAGTCTCGCGATGTGCGACACAATTACATTAATGCGCTTAAATTTCGATTTAATGGACAACACTGGTGGACTTGGAACCCGATTTCATGGATTACTTTCTAGTTATTATGTTTAAAATTTAATTTTTTATCAGAATGTGCGTTTTTAAATTTATTTTAGTAATAATCAATTTAATTTAATAAAAATTCATACTGCTAAAATAAAATAATTTGTAAAGCATGTAGTGTTAACTGGAATGGTTTTTAGAAAATTTAAAAATAAGGTATTTAATTAGTAAATATAATGAAAATTAGGGTGGTTTCACAGAAATCTAAATATTTAGATACATCTAAATATCTAAATATTTAGATTTCTGTGGGTGGTTTGCATAAATATTAGATATAACTGGTTGATGACTTTATTATCTCAGTTAGCAGTAACCATGAGACCTGTAAAGGGCCCGAGACGTTGGTTTGTTTGGAAAAAAAATACTCGCGATTTATTTTAGTGTTCATATTTTAAACAAGTTTTCTTTTCAATTTCAGGTCGAGGCAAACAGAAGAAGCTAATGCAGCGAATTTTACCTATGTTCATAATCCCATTCCTTATCCAGTCAACTATCGTGCCCTTTTTCCTCAGTATGCTCAAGTTTATGCTCTTCAAATCTCTCATGGTGGGAAAACTAGCCCTTGGTCTGATTCTCCTTAACGCGTTCAAGAATCATAATGCTGTTAAAGGACGAAACGATCCAGACATAGCGAATATTCACTATGGTTATCAAAAACACGGAATGGAATATGGTGCATACGTTAACTGACTGTTCTAAAACAGTATTAGCTAGCTTCTCTAAAATTGTGGTTCTAGACTGAATATTAATGTGCTATATTGTAGTAAAACATTTCATCAAGAAAATCTGTCCTGCAGTAGGTCAATGCCTACAGGTCAGTTTTAATTCCGGACACCAAATCTTACAATGTCGGTGTCGTTAAGCTATTTACCTTATTTAAAAGTTGTTGTACCAAGCTTTAAAATATGTTTTTTCTACGTCATAGTTTACACAACATAGTAAATAGTTGTAATAACTATAAAATATAGTTATATAATATGTTCTCATCCAAGATGAAATGCTGAACCAAAATTCATTGGAATTTAAAAAAAAACTTGGCTTGCCGGTTTGGTGTACTTTCTCCAGGTCGTGTAAAAGTGAATCACGTCTAAGCATACGTATTACAACATTAACTGTCAGTGATATAGATTTATACTACGTAGCATTTACTGCTATATCTGCTACGTGAATGGAATAGAGAAGTCGTTTATGCAAAATATACCTTCAAGGAAGAAAGCACTGATTTCTTTTAAAGAATTTTCAAGATTGTCGAGACAGTATAATTGTAACTTTTTTGTTAAAAAAAACCCGACCTCACAAGTTTGTGGAATTAAATAGATTTGCCAATTTTATTGAAATCGGTTACCGGAAAGTGAGCGAAACCGGATTATTCCCCTAGTTTGCCACCCTTAGAGGTGGAATATTTTCTTCAAATTTATAATAAATCACTCTCTTTCCAACAAAAAAGAATCGCAAAAATCGGTGCATAAATGATTTTTTTTAACGCTATTATCGCGTAACATACATACAAAAAAAATCAATAACAGTTTAATTGAGAACTTCCATCTTTTTTTTCAAGCTGGTTAAAAATTAAAGGTCTCTAAGCTACTTTCCACAGTAATTAATGATATCAATTAAATTAATTGGAACAAACAAAGTCGCATAAACACAGCGGCAACTTGAATAGAGCCGAGTTGTGATGTATGAGCGACATATACATTATATGTATAGATAACTACCCAAAGTACATACAAGTAACAAAATAAATTCAGTTCGATAAAGAACTAATGATAAATGTACTAAAATCTGCAAGTATTTCTACTTGTACAATGTTACTACTACTTTTTAGCTACTTATGTCTACTTCAATCTCAGAACTAATACTAAAATACACTAAAGTTTTTCCTCTTGTAAGCCATGTCACGAATAGGAAGGGATTGATCTCAGGTCAATCCAAAAAGTTGCAAAATGTTAGTATGATTTTTTAATTTCACATTGATCATCTTTATCGGAATATATTATATATAATAATAAGATAATATTCCAAGGCTATAATTATAAAGATGCAAAAAGAATTAACCAAAAAATATGAAAGTTTTAACCAAATAGCAAGCGGATATAAATGTAATATAATTGGGTCAATTTGTAAAGGTTGTGATTTTTTTATTATTATTTCAGTGTATTGGCCACCGTAAAGACATGATTTCCAGAGAAAAATTGTCAGAAAATTAAATTGTTACAGAAAAATTTAAATTTAAGATCTGGTAGTACAGCACACAGCTTTGCCCTAAGACATTGCCTGTCCTGAAGGATGAAAAATTTGACTATTACGACCATTTTTTAACGTCAAAATGTACTTCAGCCCAATTTATTAAATATGTGTTAGCATAGAATGAGAAACTATTTTTTGTGTCTTTTTCAAACAAACCAACGTTAATACAGGATTTTTTTTTTAAATGAAACAATGATTTTTCGTTAGGTTCTGCTCCATAATCTCTTCCAATAATTTCAAATAGAGAGAATAAAATTTTAACAAATTGTACACGAAGATCTGTTGAAAACTGCATGAAAAGTGATTCAATGATTGTATACAAGTTTTCTTCGGATCAGAGAAATTGTGAAAATTGGTACAATACTTATTTGTTATGCAAGCCTGGAAAGTTGTTGTTAGACGCGAGTGGTTGTACTGAAACCTGAGCAAGCGAAGGACACTATGGGTCGTATTCTAGAACTCTACTCAATGCTCAAGTCAGGATTGCACTGGAAACACAAGCACTGGAAATACGACCCTAATGGCAGGGACTTGAGTATGATTTCGAGTGCTTTAAACCATACTCAAACCCTGACTTGAGCATTGAGTAGAGTTTTAGAATACGACCCAAAGATCGAAGAAGATTCAAAAATAGAATCCAGAGCGTAGCGAGGGTTTCAAGCATAGATATAGAAATGTAAAACAACTTTGCTGCCGAGGCACACACACAACTTTTTACCTCACTATAGCGAGGAAAATGGTAGATAGATGATACTAGAAAAACAGTTATCGTTGTCAATTTAATGTCAACAATAATTATGAATAAAATATACCAACGGATTTATATTACATAAATAATGTACGACAAATCGCGTAGTAGAAAGTGTCATTATGTTTTTTTTCATAGAAAGAAAAAGTTAGGTGCACCACAGTCCATCGCCAAGTTCGAATTTCAAAAACCTTCTCCACCCTAGCGTGAAAAAAAACGCTTTTGCGCGCAGATATCTAATGAGAAACCTGGTTTTTTATAGTGTTGTATTTATTTCACAATAGAATAACTTTGTCCGCAAAAATAAAAGAAAATTTTCACTGAATAATTTGTGCTTAACGAAACTTTCACAGGATAGTTTATTTTTTAATGAACAATCGTGGGCCGTTGCAGCGCCACTCAAAGTTTATAGATCGCCAAGGTCTAAGAGATACTGCCACTACACTTGTAACCTGAGGCAAAAAGCTGACAACTTCCACGTGTCTGTAGTTTCATACCGTTACCCTTCAAAACCGGAACGCTGCTGTGTGTACATATGCTTGCCGGCACAAATAGGTTAGGAAGCAGTACTTCCTTTACCGAATTCTTTCACAAGGAACTCTGTTACTATATTAACAATAACAATATCTCAAGTTGTGTATCATATAATAACGATGTGCGATAATTTAAATAACAAATATCATCAAAATTGTATAGCAAACGAGATGTTAAATTAGGACTAGCATTTTCATTCGTTTATGTCCAAGATAATGGTACGTTCTGCCACGTCGAGATATTTTTTTACCTTGGAATTTGGCCCAAAATTTCTTCTTACCGTATCGATGGCATACATTATAATGCTTGTAACCGTGTTGTTTTTTTAAATTAATTAAATTAAAAATACTTTATAAAAAATAATAATTTACGACCCGTTATAGGAATTATGCCTTTTGACAGTATTTTTCTTAGGCAGCCAGTCATCTAGTCAGCTCATTTTAAAAATATATTACCTGACTAGATTATTTTTATAAAAACTATAATTTTTCCATTCCCTACATATAAAATGTACTGCATATTACCTTTTTTAAGCACCTTACAATGTGTAATCAACTGATAAGGTTCTATAATCTTATCAGTCGATTACACATTGTAAGTACTATTACCTACTGTTTAAGACGTTTCTACCTCTAGATCATATTATTTATTCTTGTAAATAGTACCTAACTTATAAGTTTTTATGTAGCAAATTTGTTGAACAAATAAATTATTTGTAAAGAAGTGCCCATAGTTTCCTTTAGGAATAAGCATTCCTACTAATTTTGAAAGAATCCCCAAAAATTATCTACGTAAAATACTAAGCTTTAAAATACAATATTTCTAAAGCTCATGATGATAATACACGCATAATTAAGGTTTTGTATGTTATTTGTTTGTTAAGTAATGTAATGTAACGCAAAGCAACACATACTTAGGGTAAGTATGTGTTGCTTTGCTGTAGAGTGTCAACCTGTATAAGTTTTACGACAAGGACAAAATATCCTCCGGATAAATAGTGAATATTATAATTTTTATAAAATAAATATTTATAATTTATATTCGCAAAAAAGCCAATCTTGAGCCTGTTTTTCTTGTTATCGTATCGATGGCATACACTTTAATGCTTGCCATCGTGGTGAAAGGATTTGCCAATCGGCGTAAAGTAGGTACCTACCTACTCGCCGATTGGCAAAATGTTGCCCTGGATGCGCCAGACGTAGGTACAGGAAAGGAATGGTACGTCGTATGGGGAGGCTCCTTTCGTGCACCACTATTGCCCCTATTCAAGATATTTTATTTTATTTATTTATTTGTTTATTTGCAAACTTTACAGCTTTTTAATTTTCGTTTACAATCATAATAATATACGTATATAGCCAATAACAAAGTTTGTCATATTACATTTTAATTATAGCGTTACTTTATCTAGCGTTAATCTATAGCCTAATCGAAAAACAAACATGTTGAAAATTTACATTAAGTTCTTAAATTAATGGTAATCTACATATTATTAAATTATTACATACAAATATAACATTATTATTATATAAATTATAAAGGTGTAAGTGTAAGTATGTTTTAGTGTTGTGTGTGTTTGTGTGTGTGTGTGTGTGTGTGTATCATTATCAATAAGTATTTTGTATCAATTCAATAAATTCTAAATAATGTATTTAAGAAATTAAATATTTAAGTATTTTAAATAAGTTTTCTTGTACATAAATAAAAAAAATGAATCTATTATGCAAATTAATAAACATTACTTAGAATATTATTATAAGATATTATCATAGTTAAAAAATAGTAACAATAACAATAATATTGTGATGTATATTGTATCGATTCACGAGGGCACCAGTCTAAGGGCCGTCCATTAGGTACTGTAAGCTGGGACGGAGCTCGTGTTGCATAGCGAGAGGTACTTTTGTAAATATACCACAACAAGCAATCAAAAACTTTATGGTTTGCTGGAGTAGTTACCGAAACAGCATTTAGTATTACATAGTTCTTTTACCTGTTATAACTTCGATATCCGATAAATCGGTATAAAATCATCACCGACACCTCTAGGTGTGGTAATCGCGTGAGCGGATATAGTACCTACAGTACCTTGAATTGAAATTTGCTAGTCTCTATAGTATGCTAATTTATATCCTACAGATACTATTAGAGGAAGCAGCTTATTTGTCTTGTACCCAATTAAAAGTTGTTGTCATGTTCTCTCATTAATCAATAGAGATGATCATAAAAAAGATATCAGTTTTTGAGCCAGTGGCGTGAAAGTTTACTTTATATGTAAAAACAATTTTCCATAAGAAATGGGACTATTTTTCGAATCTAAATCGCATACATTATTTTGTTATTCAAACAAACCAACATGTTTTATCGATTAATTAGTTATTATATATTATTAGTTAGATTATATGACCACAACTATTCATAGATGAGTACGGAGACCTTTTTCGTCACATACAACGCTATCACTACCTCTATATAATAAAATCTCTTTAATTTATAAACTAATATTAGATTAATATTACACAGAACTGGCTGATGACTTTATAATTTCAGTCAACTGTGACCATGAGATCTGTAAAGGGTCCGAAACGTTGGTTTGTTTAAAAAAACAAATATACATACATGATTTAGATCCGAAAAAATAGTTACATTTCTTATGTTTTCGCGATTGTTACAATCGCGAAAACCTAAGAACACAGTGTTTCCAATTCAGTTCCCTTCAAGGGCCTGAATCTTTCGAACTCATATACATATTAAATTCTGATTAAATTTCACAAAATTTGTCATAAAATTTATAAATTTAAGATATATTATTTTATAGAGGTAGTGACAGCCTTGTGTGTGACTAAAACCCTCTCCGTGCCTCCGTGCAGATCTGTGACTAGTTGTGGTCATTATAATCTAACTAATAATATATAATAACTAATTAATTGATAACTGAGTACGTAAACACAACAAATGAAGTGAAAACACACTTTCCTATGCAAACTTATGGTAATGAATTGAGTTGGCTAAACTTAAATGTATATTTCTGTAGCTTGTAACGTACAAATAAACAAATTATTTAATCTACAAAAAAATACTGTATTACCCTTTAAGATCCTTGGGTGTATTTTTGTAATTAGATACTTTCAACATACAATAGACATATACATAGACAGTGTTCTGTCGACTTTGTTACGTATGTGTGATACGTATTATCATAAATCTTACCTGCTTGTCAGGGGATGTAATAACAGATGAGGAAAGTATTGAATTGCAAATTGACATACACTAATTTACTAAGTGCCGAGTGTTCATTACACGGTTTAAGTTGCTATCACGTTACGTTGTGCGACGAGTGAAACCAATTTCGCAACGTAAGCGTTTGCGACCGTTTAAGAATCAGTTGTCGCGATACAGCTAAACTCTATAGCTGACTGTGGTACGGTGACCGATCCATCAATAAAGGTTCTACACTTAAATACATTTTTTTATCTTAATTGCTGTGATAAACGCGTCGCTCAATTATTATCTATGTAAAGGCAAGTGTACGCGTTAATTGCTTTAATTACTTTCTATTACATAATTAATTTTCTCTTATAAGGTTGTGTTTGGATATGTGTAGAGTTTTAGTATCACTATATTTTTTTATTAGGCAATGATAGATGCTCATATTTTTCCCAAAGAACTGTAAAACACCTAGCTACATGGAGATATAAAACAACTATGGATTGTTGTGTTGTCTAAATCAGTTAAAAAGTTACGTCCTATTACCAAAAAAAGCCGTATTTCATATGTAACTGTGATTGCGTAGACACTTCGAGAATTCCGTATCAAATTAATTCGTGTTATGATACATTTTATACCGCCGCCGTTTCTAAAAGTGAAAGGGGCGTGTGTAGGGGTCAGTGAAACTATTAACTCTTTAATTTTTCCGGAATCAAAAACATCGTGACTTTATTACGTCTCGAGTAATTGTTTTATTGAGTCTTACCTAAAATAGTAAAACATTGGTAGGATTCTTAGTGCAGAATCCGTGTGGGTTTATCATCCTCAAGGGCTCTGCACCGTCTCAGTGAATATTTCCACACCAAAGCAGCATTTCTGGATTGAAGGGTAAGGAGAGCCAAAGCCAGATTAAAGAGCCAGCGCAATAACAGGAGACTTAAGGTCTTCTGTCGCACCGCCACTGTCAAAGCATTTACCATAAAAGGGTACTTTGATTGTATTGTTATATCGTATAGAGAAGTCAATTACGTTCACCGTGCATCGTCTGACTTTATGCATTGTTGTTTGATTACTAGCTAATAAAAATATATATCAACATTACGACGAACAAAAACTTAGGTATTATTATCTACATCCAATTGTTAATATAAAAAGGCATGTCTGCAGAGAAAGACATTATAAAGCAAAAACACTAAGTTTAATTTGAAATTTTAAAAAAATACAAATAGTGGCAAACTATTTAGTACAATGCTCACTTCCAAATACAACACTTATTCATTCAATTGAAATTGTCAAGAAAATCTCTACGCTTTTGTCTTTTTTTCTACTCATTGAAGGTCTTCCACCGACCTAGATTATGTTTTGCTCCTATGCCTCTTTTTTGGTTTTCACTTTTTGTTACGAAACAACAATAATAAGAATAACGAGAGCCCAATATTCCCGTATTTTTAGATGGTATTGGCAATCTTACGATGGATGCGGGAAAACAAATTAGCTGTGTTCTTCATGCTGACAACTACATGTCTGTTAATATCTACGGTGGCGTTGGCTCATAAAAACAGCCTGCCCAGTCACAAAATCAAATCTAATGAACACGCTGAAAAACAGGTAAGAAAAGCCCTATCTCCAAATCTTAGGTAAATATTTCAACTAGGGCCCGCTCTACTTACAGGAAGGGAAAAAAATACGCTCTACTAAACACTGGGGTCGTATTCTAGAACTCTACTCAATGCTCAAGTCAGGATTTGAGTATGGTTTAAAGCACTCGAAATCATACTCAAGTCCCTGCCATTAGGGTCGTATTTCCAGTGCTTGAAATCTAACCTAAATGACTATTGTCTCATTGACATTTAGTGTTGTACGTATTTCACACCGAAATTGAAAAAAAAAGAGAACTCTTATGAGATCCCTTCCCGTCAGTTGTTTCAAACAACTGATCATCATTTTTTTTTTCATTTCATTTATTTATTTGCAAGCTACATAAAATTGGCACGTAACATTTGAATTTTATTGGTGACTTGAACACTACTGCAGTAGGAAATAATATTTTGAAACCAATGAGAAATTAGTATTGAAAATGTTTAGTATTTTTATTTTGGCGGTTGGTTTTAGACAATGAAACCTTAAGCGAAAATAAAAAAAAGCTTAGGTCTCGTACCACATTTCGATATTTAGTTTAAGGTTTACTTTTTTTAATTATGTTTGAATCCTACTGGTATTGATTTTGTTGGATACAATGGATACAAACAAAATCAATACCAGTATGATTCAAAAAATAACATGTGACAAAAAAAATGTGATATAATTATTCTCCATTGTATAAAAATACTTCAACTGGTTTTATTTATTTCAAAGTCCAATATTTTTAACCTGTTAAGTACAACATAGTACCTACTCATGACATTTGGAAATTCTTGACCCATAGTACTCATACAAGAAAGAAAAACTTAATCACGTAAAGTAGATATTATGTTACGGTACCAGCATCTTTTATTTTATATTGACTTGTCAGTGTTTACAAAGGTAAAAAATAGGAATGAAGATCGATGATGTAAAGTCAGTGTAAGAAAATTGCATTTATCATTAAGGATACCTAGCGCTCAATACCTTTCAGGACCCAGAGAACATGGAACTTCAGAACTACCCATGACCTGTGTCGCAGGTAACTGTGCCTATTTTATAATGAAATTTTTTTCAGAATTCCAATTACCGTCTACCCCCATACGTTATACCGAAAAACTACAAACTTCTTCTCGATCCGAATATTACCAGTAACTCGTATAATGGATTAGTTATAATAAAGATACAAGTTCTACAACCAACCAAACAAATTAATCTACATTCAAAGAACCTAGAAATAATGTACGCAGGTCTGAACAATGGTTCGAAAGGCAATCAGTATACTACAAATGTAATAAAAAATGAAGATTTAGAATTACTTTACATTATATCAGAGGAAGAAATTATACAAGGAAACTATTGGATTGAAATAAAGTTTAAAGGAAAGCTTAATAGCAAGGCAATTGGTTTTTACGCTAGTACAATGAAAAACGGCGAGTAAGTACATATTTATAATTTTATTACATTCAAAACCTCATTATTGATGAATATATGAATATAAAAAATTATTAAACTTAATATTGAACATTCCAAAGCCAAATAAAAAACGTGACTCGTCTTTTATTTTTACTTCACATTGACGTAGATTGACATCTCGAGTTTTGAAAAAATGGCGGGTTTTGGCAGTTACATTTTTTCTTAGAGGATGGAAAAAAATAAAAGAAAAGAGGTAAAATAAAATAAAAGAAAAACTTCGGAATGAACGTGCATACCTAAACAACAAATGAACAAATGGCGGATTTCTTTAGTGTCGTACCTTAATCTATCGATAAGTCATTATCGACATGCAAACATTTAATTAAAGTAGATCAATATTCCATTTGGGAATATTTTAGGTTAAATGGGAATATCCGGGAATGTCACATGAAATTTTGAATTTATTGTTTTGCGTTTACAAATACTCAAATATTACGAAAAGTGAATTTGCACAGAAAAAATGTAATTTGAGAGTATATAAAAAAGAAAAAACTTTGAAATATAACTCCTATACATTTCCAACCTCAAGATTCATATTTTCATACAGAAATTTTTAAACAGATTCCAAATAGTGTAGGCTTTTTTGTATTTATGCCTTGGTATAGAGTTAATATCAGTGTCTGATTTAAGTGAATCTTTAATACTTCCATTTAATTTTGGAAATAAATGAAAGTAGTAATATTATCAATAATAATATTATTATCATACGTTTATTTGCTTAAAACATGGTATAACAGGAGATGTACCAAGAGACAGTGTTAGTATAAACATATTTCGCATATATTAAATAGCATGCAAATGTCTGATTATACAATGTCAATTGACTAGTATTGGCCGAGCGCCTTTGATTTGTACAGAAAAATCAACACTTCTACGACGTGAGACAAGTAGTCACGAGCGACTGCAAGTTGTGACAAACCACGTCAAACGAACACGTTAGTGCTCGCCTTCACTCGGTCAGCTAGGCGAGTGCGAACGAACGATTCATATTTTATTCCTATTTGCTTTGCCAGGCACGGCAAAGCAAATAGGCTGTCTATACGTTGGTATTGGCCTTCACCCGGCAACGTTGGACAGTATATAGTAATCTGTGCGTTGGACCAACATGGTCATTGTATTGCTAGCTTCATAAAATAAGAATTTTTAGTAGTTAGAGTTGTCAGTGGGAAAAAATTGGAAACGAGTGGATAATTTTGTTTTCAGGAACTGAGAATACCTAATAAATGAGTCTTGTTTAATCTAAATTAAATTTTAAAATATTTACCAATACCTATTGATAGAATTGCATTATCATGTAATCTAGTTACATTCAAAGTTATGTTATAATTTGACTCTTCAAAATGAAGCGAATAAATGAAAATGGTCTTTGATTTAATGTTTATATTCGGCACTATTATACGGCGGTATAATTTTTAACCATTCTTTTTTGGTTTGAAATACCTAGTAAAAACAATAATAATAAAATAATAAAAACCTCGTATTGGATTATTTTAATAACAGAATATCGATAATATGTACGCATCCAAGAACGACACTATCTGAAAATAATCGTTAACAACAATCATCAAAATATACAAATAAACAGGCAATCTGAAGAAACCAAAGCAAAACTTGGCAAGATTTATGAAGAAACTACTTAAATATGTCTAATTACCTGAGATATTTGGGCTTTTGTGTGATTTCTAGACAGAAAAATAACACGTGCCTGTACAATGTTACATTCGGTCGATTTTCGCTTTTTCAAATGATACACCCGTATTGCTGCAGCGACGAATTTTTATTAATACTTAATTGTTCTCACTGTCAATATTTTTGTCCATTTAATTACATTACATGCGAATAATTCAATAAAACACTTGGAAAAAAATTGTTTTGACATTTGATGTACTTCCCTTTGACAACCGTATCATGTACCTCATGTACTGCGAAATCTAAGACTATGGAAACTAAAGGACATGTATAAATCAGACGTTATATGTATATGATGCATTTCGACGTCGAAAACATAAACATGTTATTGTCTTTGTTTAACTATTACGTGCCGTCTTAAGCCAAAAGAGATAGCATTACATTGGTCTGTGTCAAACACGGGAATCGAAAATACGTAACGTCATCTTAACCTCTTGCCATGCATCTTAAAATCTTGTCAACCGTGTTCACTTCGCAGTCTATGAGGTACAAGATACCGTTGTCAAAGGGAAGTACATCAAATACAATCGCGAAAACCTAAGAACTCGATAAGTACATCAAATGTCAAAACAAATGTTTTTCCAAATGTACTACTGAATTATTCGCATGTATTATAATTAAATTGGACAAAAATATTGACAGTGAGAATAATTAGGTATTAATAAAAATTGCAACGCTGCGCTGCAGAATTAAGGAATGTGGCTTTAGAAAAAGTGCAAATCAATAGAATGTTACATTGCACAGGCATGTGTTATTTTTTTGTCTGTAAATCACACAATAGCCCAAATATTTCTTGTAATTATACATACTTATTTAAGTAGTTTATTTATAAATCTTGCCAAATTTTGCTTTTGTTACTTTAGATGGCCTGTTTGTTTGTATATTTTGATGATTGTTGTTAACGATTATTTTGAGATAGTGTTGATCTTATAAGCATACATATTATCGATATTCTGTTATTAAAACAATTCACTACGAGGTTTTTATTATTATTATTTTTATTATTTCAAGTTTTCCTGCAAATGAAAAAAGGAAGAAAGAATGGGAAATTATAGGACTGCCGAATATAAACGTTGGATCAAAGACCATCTTCATTTATTCTCTTCATTTCCAAGAGTCAAATTTTAACAGAACTTTGAATGTAACTAGATTACACGACAATGCTATTTCATCATTAGGTTTATTGGTAAATAATTTTATGTTCAATTTACATTAAACAAGACTCATTTACAAGTTATTCTCAGTTCCTGAATACAAAATTATCCACTCGTTTCTGATTTTTCCCAATGACAACCTCTTAACTATTAAAAATGACTATTTTTTAAAGCCTGCAATACAATGACATGTTAGTCCAACGTTGCCGGGTAAAGGCCAATACCAACGTTTATCCGCTCACGCGATTCATGCGTCTCTGGAAGCATACCACACCTAGAGGTGCCGGTGATGATTTTATACCGATTTATCGGATATCGAAGTTATAACAGGTAAAAGAACTAATACTAATTGCTATTTCGGTAACTACTCTAGCAAACCATAAAGTTTTTAATGCCTGGGTCTGTCATTAAAAAAAAAATAAACAACTTCAAAAATACGTCACGACAATCGTGTGTGTTATTGTTTGGGCTGGTGATGTCGGTGTTTATTTATTGAAAACATACCGTAAGTTGCGTTTTTTAAGTTTACCTTGAATATAAATGTTTGTAAACTATACTTTAAGGAGTAATTTCATGGTAAACATTAGAACCACTCAAATGGAATATAATCATATTTACCCAAGTACACCAAAAATTTAATTAGTGCTTTTTAAGTGCAAGATTTGCGGTGTATTACTGCATTTTATTTGAGATGTTTTTGTTGTAGTACGGAGGGTATTTATTTAGTAATGCAAAATAATAATTTTTATTTTTAAAAACTTGTATTTAACCTGAATCCTTTTCTAATTTGCGAAACCAAATAGCCGCCATTTTGCGATAGGATGAGCGCATCGCGTGAGCGGATAGACAGCCTATTTGCCTTGCCTTGCCATCGTTCGGTTTAATAATAATATACCACTCGAGATTAAATTATTAGACTTGTGTTTTTTTAGGAATACTTTGGTTACAGTAAACTAAAGAAACAAAAAAAAACAGTTTCAACATTCAAGCCATACATTTGCATGTCGATAATGACTTATCGATAGATTATGGTACAACACTAAAGTAATCCGCCATTTGTAACTTTCAAATTTTGGTTATAAGCACGTCGATTCTGTAGTTAGGGCAGCTCCTTTCTTTTATTTTTTTTCATCATCTAAGTGCGAAATGGACACGGTTGGCATTTAAGATGACATTACGTATTTTCAGGATGGAAAAAAATATTTTTTTTTACACGAATTAATTAGTTTATTTATGTATATTACGTTGTGTGTTTCTTGATTATTTGTTACCATTAAGCTGATTTCTCTGTAGCCAATGCTTTATAAATAAGTAAATAAAAATACACATTGACGTTGACAGTGACAACTATTGGACAATAAAAATTAGTTTTTATTTTACGTTTTCATCATGAATATTTGAAATTCTATATATTTACAAGAACACTACTTTTATGTACAAAGCAGGCTTTAAAAATTTAATAAAATTCCCTTTAAGAGCGTTACGTGCTATCAGACGGTCGGGATACGTAGGTAGCACTGTAAAAAAAATGGAGAAAGTGACTTCTTGTACTTGGGAAAGGTTATCTCCTTCTGTATATCCGCTAAATTATAAATTAGTTTTGGAGCCAGATCTAGAAAGTGGTGAGAAATTTAAAGGAAACGTTGTAATCAAAGTTAATGTAAAAGAAACGAGAAATTATATTTGTTTGCATGCTAATTTGTTGGAAATTCACGGTGTAAAAGTCTTCAAAGATGACAAAACAGCAGTGCCCGTGTCGAAGTTCAATCTAATACCGAAGGTTGAACAGCTACAGGTTGATTTAGCTGAACCTATCGGCAAAGGGAATTATATAATGGATGTGGATTTTAAGGGAAATTTATCCGGTTTTCTTGGATTGTATTCAACCTACACCAAGGCAGATAGGTAATATTTTTGCTGATTATACTATTGCAGTCTCGTAATATTTTGTTTTATTTTTTTTTGCTTATTTTACAATATATAATAACCAAAGAATACATAAAAGATATCAATTTATGTAACTTTAAATTATAAGATAAGATGAAATTTTATCTTACACATGCACACTTTGTTTATTTGCCTTAAGTAATAAATCTTTTCTTGAGTTATTAATTCATAGTTTCTTGAATATATTTCTACTACAAGGTATGGCCACGGTTACTTACTGACTTGTGTTATTATCACACAAACCAAATACTTTTATACTAAAAAATTGGTGGAATTGAGAAAATGTAATTTGAAAGTTCAAAAAGAATACTGAATAAATATTATTGCGAATAATTTGATTATTTTTATTTAATATTTAGTTACCCATTTATAAATGAAAATATAAATTTATTGGTTCATTTGTAATTTTTTGAACTTTCATATCTTGTTTATTCTCAATTCCAAAACATTGAGTTAGGGTAGTGTATGGTTTCATGTGCGTACATTAGTCCAGTAAAGATGTTGTTTTTTTTGCAGGATTATGGTGGCCAGTAAATTTCAGCCTACATATGCTAGGCAAGCATTCCCGTGTTTTGACGAACCTGAGTATAAGGCAACATATGATATCACTTTGGTGAAACCCACAAATTCTACGGCCCTCTCTAATATGAATGTACGTTGGATTTAAATAAAATTCACAATTGTATTTTATGGTACAGACAGCAGCACATCAAGCTACACATTGACAGATTTTTTTCCAATGTACTGTTTTTTTTTAATTAAAAATGGACGTACTCTTGACCACTACCTAGCCCTAGAGCAAAGATGAGGTCTACGTTGGTACGAGCTCGCCCAGAAGATGCCTATTCAATCGCACCTTGAAAATATTAGACACAGGCAGGGAATTCCAGTCACGGGCTGTGCGCATTTTAAAAGATGACGAAAAGCGCTTAGTACGTCTTAAAGGAATATCAACCAGGTGAGGGTGATATCCCGCCGTTCGTCTAGATGTATGATGGTAAAAGGGGGCGGATGGAATGAGCTGGTGGAGCTCATGGGCACACTCTCCGAAGTATAATCTGTAAAAAACCGACAGACCCGCGACCTTTCGCCGATGGGCTAAACTATGAAGTTTATATCTTATATCGAGCTCATCGTCGCCAATAAGCCTCCTGGCTCTGCGATCAATCGAGTCAAGAGCCTCTAGTTGGTATTTCGCTGAGCCATCCCACAGGTGACTGCAATACTCCATGCAAGACCGGACCTGCGCTTTATATAAGGTTAAAAGCTGTCCAGGCGAGAAGTATCGCTTCACCTTGTTAAGGATACCCAGCTTCTTGGCTGCAGTTTGCGCTTTAGACTCTATAGAAGCGCCAAAGTTGAGGTTTGCGCTTAATGTCATGCCAAGAAGCTCTAGGCGGTCGGTAACTGGGACAGATACACCCCGAAAAGTAGGAGTCAAATCAAATGGACTCCTTTTTGCGGAAAAAAGACAGGCCTGCGTTTTGGTGGCGTTGAAGCTGACCAGATTGTTGTCACCCCACTGGGCAACAAGACTTAAGGTCAGGTTCGTTCGCTCTACCATAGCCTCTCTCAGCGAACGAATATCTTCCCTGCCGTCTCTTGCGCTAGACAGATATCTCTCGGTAACTGTACTGTCATCTGCATACCCAACTATACCCGGGACCAATAGGTCATTGATGTGTAGCAGGAAAAGAGTCGCCGAAAGAACAGACCCTTGAGGAACTCCAGCATCAATAGCCATCAAGTCAGATGAGCAGCCTTCAATGACTACTCGAATCGACCGTTCCCCAAGGAAATCTGATATCCAGCTGCAAAAGTCGGCAGGGATGCCGTAAGCAGGAAGCTTGCTCAGCAAACTTGCATGCCAAACCCTGTCGAAGGCCTTTGAGATATCGAGCGATACGGCCAGTGCCTCACCGTGTTTCTCGATGACCTCGCCCCAGCAATGCGTAACATACACGAGAAGATCCCCAGTTGATCGTCCCCGGCGGAAGCCATATTGACGATCACTGAGTAGGTCATTTATTTCAAGGTATGATAGCAGCTTACCGTTCAGAACTCTTTCCATAACCTTGCAGAGTATGGAAGTTATGGCGATTGGTCTGTAATTACAGGGGTCGGCGCGGCTTCCCTTTTTAGGGACTGGTTGCACATTTACAAGCTTCCATGATTTAGGCACTATTCTCGTTTTTAGTGAGAGGCGGTACAGACACGTCAGTACAGGAGTTAGCTCAGGCGCGCAAAGCCTCAGTACCCGTGCTGGTATACCATCAGGACCACTGGCCTTATTCACATCTAGACTTCGCAGAGCTCTACGAACCTCTTTTGCGTGGATTGTGACCTCCGGCATTGAAGTGTCACAACGAGGTAAATTTGGTGGATGTTTTGAGCCTGCATCTAGATGCAAATTGCTTGCAAACATTGCAGCAAATAAGTTTGCTTTATCCGTTACAGAGTGAGCCAGTGATCCGTCAGGTTTTTGCATGGGAGGCAAGGTGGACGGCAGAAGTTGGATTCAACTGCTTTGGACAGGGACCAGAACTGCTTGCTACCAGGAGGGTAGGATGCAAGCCTGGTCCCGATCCTGCTGATATGGTTGAATCTAGCCTTCCGGAATTCGCGTTTGCAGGACTTGGCGGCAGAATTAAAAGCTCTCTTTCTCGCGCGAACCCTCCGGGCTCGAACTTTGCGGTCGCGAGCTTGTACCCATGCTTGGTAAGCAGACTGCTTACGGGCCTCAGCACGTGCGCAGTCCACGTTATACCAAGGTCGGGCTTTGTGACCCAGTGGAATGTCGGAGAATGGAATAAAGTACTCCATTCCCTGCCAGATCACATCTGCAACCGCATCAGCAGAACTCGAGGGATCACCCGAGGAAAAGCAGACTTGCCGCCAAGGATAAGACGCAAAGAAGTGCCGCATCTCATCCCAATCTGCTGACTCGTATCGCCATACTCTTCTTGTACCTCTTGGACAGTCATCAGGAGGAGAGTAAGTCGACACGGATTTCACCACACAGTGGTCGGATGTTCCCAGCGGTGCCGAGATCGAAACCGAGTGACCGTGTGGATCTGTTGTCAACAGAAGGTCCAAACAATTGGCTGCATGTCCGTCAACATCCGGTACCCGCGTTGCTTGGCTTACCAGCTGGGTGAGATTTAGCGATAATGCAAATTTGCGCGCCTCCCTCCCAGCATGGTCTGTTTTTACGTACGGAAACAGCCACTCACTGTGGTGAGCATTAAAGTCCCCGAGAAAATTAAGCTCTGCTGAAGGGTACCGTTGTTGGGCCTTATCTGCCATCTCAGTTAGGTGGACGAAGAGCTTAGTTGTCTCCTGGTCACCACTGTGCGATCTGTAGACACAGATATAGAGATATTTCTCCATTCCTGTGTCCACCAGAATCCACACATGTGAAAACCCGTTACTTTCAAAGCAACGGAGACGCCGATAGCAAATGTCGTCACGTACGTATACGCAAACCCCAGCTCGCTGCAGAAATTTATGCTCAAGCGAGTATCCTGGGTAACTACCCAGGATACTCGCTTGAGGTACGCAACGTCAGACGGTGTTACTATTTGCGTCTCCGTTAAGAAGAATAGGTGCGGCTTCTCAGTCTCTAGGTGGTAGTGGACCGGATCAAGGTTAGAGTGCAGGCCTCGGATGTTAGTGAGGTGCACCTTCATTGGGAGGAAGTGCAGACTGTGCAACTGGAGGTGATATTCAAAGAAAAGTGTATAGTTTGATGTGCTGCTGACTGTCCGTGGTGTATAAGTATTAATTAAAATTGCCTAATTTGTGTAACAAATATACTTAAGGTTGTTAAAAAAGTTCATTCCCTGAATATTCACCCTAATAAATTGTTTCTTCATGAACTGATTAGAAATAGATGTAAACAAACAAACATTTGGGAGCGTTCAAAATTCTTAATCTTCCTAAAATTTCCTAATTTTATATCAATTGTAATTGCAATATCAAGTGAATGTCTTAATAAATATGTGTTTTAGAAAAACACATATTTTTCCGGATTTAAATCATTGAGTCAACCATGACCATGGCACCTGTAAAGGGCCCCAAACATCAGTTTGTTTGAAAAAACAAATATACGTGATTTAAATCTGGAAAAAAGTTTCATTTCCTATGTGTAACAATCGCGAAAACCCAAGAACTCGATAAATATGTGTTTTAATTTTCAGCAAGTTTCCATAACTTCAAACGAGAGCTCCAAAACAGAAGCAGTTACCTTCGCGACAAGCGTTCCAATGTCAACTTACCTTGCCTGTTTTGTTATAAGTGACTTTGGTTACAAACAAACTGAGATAGACTCAAAAGGGATTGGAAAGAATTTTACTTTACGGTGTTATGGTCAAAAGGACAAACTTTATAAGATTGATTTTGCCATGGATATTGCAAAGAAGGCCACTGAGTACTATATTCAGTATTATAGTGTACCTTATCCATTGCCTAAATTAGGTGGGTTTTTATAAAGATTTATTATTTTGAATCTTGAAGTGATGATATGAATATTCACTTTAGACAATGCGACAATTGAGAAGTATTGTGAGTTGTAAAATTTCACATACAAAAGAACTTCATAATTAACTGAAAAATCTTTATTGCTCTGAGTTTAGGTAAGGTAATACAATGTTGCAGGTCAGTTTCCTTTTTTTTATGATATAAGTGACAGGATGACTAAGTTGTACGCCTGTAAGGCGACATGTTTGTCCATAGCAATTGCAGTACCACTCTCAGTTTTAAATCGCAAAGATCTAAGGGGCACTGCCACTGCGCCTGTCACCCTGAGACATAAATTGACATGTCCTATATCCCTGTAATTTGACCAGCACTTTTACCCTTCAAAACCGGAACGCAGTAATGTGAGAATTACTGCTTGGTGGCAGAAATAGGCTACTGCTACTAAACTAGGTAATGTCCTATATCTTAGAAAAGCAGTGTAACGCAATTCTGTAAAAGACAATCATTATATTAATATCATATTTTACAGACTGCAACACGAACACAACATTCATCACAAAAGAATGTATATATTTAAGGAAACTAGTATGTTCAGATTGTATTAGTGGTACAATGACACTGCCAATTAATTTCATTATGATTTTAATTTGTTGTTACAGATATGATTGCTATCCCTGACTACACCTCTGGCGCCACAGAACATTGGGGATTGGTTACCTACAGAGAGACTTCGTTCCTGATTGACAAAGCCACAGCATCTGTTAAAAACCAGATAGCTGTGGCAAACACCATTGCCCATGAACTGGCTCACATGTGGTTTGGCAACTTAGGTATGGAGACACAAGTATTAAAAAAGAATTATTTACAACAAAAGTTTAGCCTTCGAAATAGAAGTAGTGTTAAGTTAATCCATTAAAAACGTAACACCCTTTTACTTTATGCAACTTTAAAAAAATATTTTTATTGAAATATAATATGAACTTAAAACTAAAAATAAAGATCTGTAACAAGCACATAGAGAAATTCGTAAGGTCTTCTGGTTTGTCCAGAAAATTCGTTTGGGAGAGCGTCAGCTACGGTATGGCGAGGTCGCTGGTTCGAGTCCAGCTGGATCGAAAGAATTTTACTTTGTGTTCGAATTTCGTATTAATAGTTACCAGAAACTAGTGGAGTAATTTCACAAAAAATAATTGAAAATCATGGTAGATAAATTTTTCTGTGTTCGATTTTTGCATTAATAAAATTGTAACAAACTAGTGGAGTCATTTCACAAAAAACAATTGAAGATCATGATAGTAAAACATTGTGATATTCAGTACATTTAATATTATACATATATATTATAAATGAGTGAGATATAACAACAAATGACATTATTTTAGTCTGTATGATGCTCTTCAGATATAATTAATTTATGGTATATGGACATTTGACATACTCTTGCATAATATAAGGTCACTGGGTATAATAGACGATTGATATAATAACTTTCAGATGTAACATTCACTGGGTATAATGTATTATAAATATAATTTAAGTGGTGTTTAGGTGCAATGGTGAATGAACCGAATTTGTTTGCAATTGCTAGTTGGTTCGACCTCCTCCTGTGTGTCTGTGGACGACTGCCAGAACCGAATTTGTTTGCATTTGCTAGATGATTCGACCCCCTTTTGTGGGTTTAGGTTAGGTTAATATATGACAAAACTGCACGAGCTAAGCGAGCGCAGCAAGCGTGCTGCGGCCAGCGACTGTCAGAACAAAATTTGTTTGCATTTGCTAGTCGATTCGACCCCTTCTGGTGGATTTAGGTTAGGTTAGTATATGACAAAGCTCCACGAGCCGAGCGAGTGCAGCGAACGTGCCGCGGCAGCGGCCGCGACTCCCAGAGCCGAATTTGTTTTGCATTTGCTAGTTGGATCGACCTCCTCCTCTTGTGGACGTAGGTTAGGTTAGTATATACAATTAAATATTCTGGTTAGTTTTAATAAATCGATTGCATTAAAACCACAAACAAACAACAATAAATAAAGAATTGTCATGTTTCTCTTTCAGGTATATTTGTAATTTATTTAGTTAAGCACTTCAACTATTCGTAAAACGAAATATTGTGTTGTATTATTTATACCGTTTGCACATTATGTCTCCTAAGCATTATATCTAATGTTTGTTATACTGAAGGTTTATTATCACATTGAAATTATGCCTTTTGTTGATTATATACAGTGAGTGATTATATCCTCAGAAATTATATCCAATGTTGTTATACAAAGTGAAAATAGATTATTTCTTGTTATGTCTTCCATTACACACCCATTATAAATATGTACTTAGTATTTTTATATTTACCAATATTCTGATGCTTGTAGTGTTGTGTTGTATGTCACAGAAACGCCGCTGAATTATAATAACGCACTCAACATAGCCCCGCATTAGGGAAACCTCATGTCTCACATAGACAACCACAAATTACACCCAAATTCACGGGAGAAATAAATGTAGGCCATACAAAAGTTTCTCCCGGCCTGGAAATCGAACCTGGGACCTGTGCGTGGCAGACCGGCGTGGTAACCGTTCGGCCACGGAGGCAGTTGATTAGTTAATTACGTATTATGAGTTCTTAGGTTTTCGCGATTGTTACACATGGGAAATGAAACTATTTTTCCGGATTTAAATCAACCGTGACCTGTAAAGGGCCCGAAACGTTGGTTTGTTTGAAAAAACAAATATACGCTATTTAAATCCGGTAAAATAGTTTCATTTACCTATACATATTATGAGGTTGCTATTGTCTCTGAAAATTCGCACAATGAAAATTTCGAGATGTCTTCTATGTAAAATTGTCAATATGAAATGTAAAACTAACTGTGTCCTTGTTTTAGTAATTTTAATATCTTATTTCAGTGACAGTGAAATGGTGGAATGATTTATGGTTAAATGAAGGTTTTGCCACTTACATGCAAACAAAGGCTCTGAACGCCATAGAACCATCTTGGACAGCCGTATGTTGTTTTTTTTAACTAATTGAAATAGACCTAATTTAATAGCTTGCTGGAATGCATAGACTTCTTCTCTCATCTTCTCCATCGTCTGGTTTGGCCTTAGGAAATCAAACTGTAGATACCATAAGGCATAAAAAGATATTGTACAAATATTATACAGAAATAAGATTTTTATAGGCCTTGTATAATTGTCCCTTTAATTTTCTAGTACATCATTCAGGTTATCTTGTCTAAAGGTAATCTAAACAGATTGTAATGTTGCTTTAGAGTCTATACTACCTTAGCTCGAATTAAAATTTTTTCCCTACTAATATGTTTGGTTTTGCCTGAGTCAAGTGGCAGGGACACTGGCTTTATTTCAGAATTTTTTTTACGAACGAAATTAAAGCCATTTGAAAAATGTATATCGTATAGTATTATACACTCAGTTGATATAAAAAAAGCATTGGTATATGTAAAGTACTTATTGTATACACAGCCGTTTTCTTGTAGAATTTCGAGGTAAGTTTGTGTTTTTTTTGTTTCTGTTATGGAAATTTTTAGGAATCGTGTTTTCACACTGTACAGTAATCAGTGTATATCCTTAAAATTTTATTACCTATGTATTTCTTCCAAAATTATTGAATTAACACTTTCACTGTTATGCAGGTACTTGAGGTAGTATAGACTCTTAAGCTTATAAGCAATAAGTAATAAATTTTACCAAATTTTGGCTTGTGGAGCAACATTAACCCGTCCGAGAGGCGGACGGTGGCCCTAACGATTTTTTTTTAATTTAAAAAAAAAGGGTGGATGAAAACTCACTATAACCTATAATCTAAAACCACACGGTGTCTCATCTAGGATGTGACGGGTTAACATAGATTTTATGTTAAAACTACAAATTGCTCGTAATATGTTCCAAACTCTTTTCAGTTAGATCAGTTCCTAGTAAAAACAATGCATCCGATATTGGCATCCGACGCAAAGTTGTCAAGTCGTCCAATCGTCCACGATGTTACCACGCCTGACGAAATCACAGCGATTTTTGATCTCGTTTCTTATAATAAGGTACACTATGTGCATTTTAGAGT